AGAAGTCTAAAGCTTCAGGCTAGTTCTTCCATGGATTGGACTGCAACTTCCATTATCTCCAGCCAGCAACTTTGGGAAATTTTAAAACTGTTCCTTATTATATACCTGCAACACTCTTCTTTCTTCTCAGTATATTTTTCTTTAAAAATCTGAGCTATATAATCAAATATATAATTTACATATATGCAGATAAAAAGATTGAACCATTTTCTAGTCTTGCAAGAGAAAAATGTTATACGATACGATACTGTTTTAATTGTTTAAACTGTTCTGAAGCAGAAGCATACTGATAAATTTCCCAGCTAGCAAATCAGTAATACTTGTCAGAGAGAAGCATACCAGGCCAAACAGTATACAGCAGAACTGTTTTTGCAAACTAAGACAATCCTCAGTGTTGTTTCTCAGATTCTAAGATTATCTTCTGTGATTTCTACATTTGAGTTCAAACAGTATTTAACTAGGCAGCTATTTCTACAAGTGAACTTGCTGTAAAATTTTGTAACTAAAACTGTGGTAAACACTGAAATGCCATTACATCTGATTGGATAATACTTCCAGCGTAGCTTGTACACTCAGTGCCCCATTTTCAATAATCAATGCTTGTCAATTTGTCACACATCCTTAAATAAACCATTTTCAATCACTCTTCCCTACTCTGTTTCAATAATCTGGCATTTGCTTCCCTCAAATCTTCTTCACTGACCATCTAAAGCAAACATGGGCTAGGGGACAGGAGAAAGAAGGAGAATGGAGAAAAAAGTATTTCTATTTGCATTTAGAGCAAAGATCTAGGAAATCCAATCATTCTCCTATTGTTTTATTGCAAATAGTTCAACAACTTCTCTTTATTACTGCAGAAAAACTTAAAAGCTAGCTGAGTGCAATAAAATGGTATGTGTTCAGCTTTGCAATGCTTCAGAGGGCAGTGATTTAGTGCTATGAACCAGTATCTTGCACACAGAACATCTGAGCTCAGTAATTGCCTCATGTTCTGTGCAAACTCTACAAAGCAGCACGAAATCTGCCCCCACAGAGTGTGCTTGCTGCTGCCAGAACCTCCTCCCTGCATCCCCTTCACCCAAATTCCACAGGCTGTGTTATTAAAACAGCAGAGAGACTCACTGGTTTTGTTTGTGCCCCAAGGTTTTACTATACCATTAGGGTCTACATATTGCATTAAACCTTTATGTCAGCTAGCCAATAGGCAGTGTTCCAGAGGATTCATTATGCTTCTTACTGCTGAAAACGGGAGGACTCTGGAATTACATAGTACAGATATTTGAACGACATGACTCATCAGTAAGTGTAACAATGTGGTAGCATTACAAATTTACTCATAACAACCACTGTGGTCTTTCATGCTCCCGTAGATGTTACTGTTAATGGAATCAATGATCTTACACAAAAGAGATTTACAGAGACCATATTTTCAAGTTTTGCATCTTAAATATTATGCCATCTGTTGCATCTGGATAGATATAAGCTAAGTGGGAGGAGAGCAAGAGAAAGATGAACATCCATCCTTCTTCTGTTAATACATCCAGTTGTTCTGACTGGAGGATTATCCAGTAGAATTTTATTCTGATTTCTTTAAGCAAAGAATATATAGTTGGTGCACAGTCATTCAAAGAGGGTTTAAAAAAAATCACCTTGAATTTTATTACTACTAAGTAATAGACATCAGAAAGTACAGACTGACTGTGCAGCTTTCTGTTTTCAAATTTTGTACAACTTTCCAAATTCACCCAAATAGAACAAGAATAACCTTGCATCCCCACTTTCTTGTTCTCTTGTTTCCCTTTCCCCATGCCATCTTTCATTTTCCTGAGGAAGGGGGAAAAAACTGGGAATACAAAGAATGTTAAAACTGTCCATACTTCTACTTTTGAAAGAAATAGATTTCAACAAACATAAATGTAAAGAATTTGGACATTTAAAAGCTCTTAAACTGAGCATGATCTCTAAATTTAAAACAATTTGAATAAATAAGATTTTAAGGAAAAAATGAAGTGCTCATGTGAAGAATGTGTTAGGACAAATGAATTGGAGGGGGGGGGGTGCCTTCTGGAAAAGCTTGCAGAATTGGCAAAAATGCTCCCTGTAAATTGGTGAGATAACAAGGACTGAAGTTCTGCCCAAAGAACACAAAATGACCTAGGAAGCACAGTCTTCGTTCTGAGTTGGTATTGTTCCATTATGCATGCAAATCTAATAGGCTGCTTGTTACAATAACATCACATTCACTGCATAACCTTCAACTGCCTAAGTTTACAAGATCACAACCTAGTTGAAAATAAAATGGTGTAAAAATCAAGACTCATCAGGAAATTAGGAACTTTTGGCTGTCATGGATGTCACTACTTTTCTAGCAAAATCAAAGTACTATGGATAAATAATTGGTGAAGCCCCTGAACCTTGGAAATAACACTTTATAAATTAAATTTCCTCGATTCTGCATTAAAATGTTTTATCAATAATACTATATTGCTCACACCTTCTTTAGATTTTGCATCTCATTCTAAGAAAATTCACAATCAGCAGAATGTCAAAGAAATGCTGCTAAATTTGTGTGTTGATTTCATTGTATTTGTCTTAAATGCATTAATCTCCTTAGTTTCTTTTCCCAAACTGGCAGGGAGAAATGGTAAATAAACTGATATCTCATGTCACTATGGTATATCTTTCACTGAGAAAAGAACAATGCAGATTCTAAGAGAAATATTCAATTTACTATAAAATGAAGATTCTCATTCATCTGTTCCAGAGTACTGCTAAACTCTAACATTGCAAAACAGAGTTTGGAAACCTAGCTGCTAAAGTCATGCTTTAGATTCATAAAGGCAAAGTTTACTATTGCCCCTGGCAGACTTTTTAATCCATCACTCTCCAAATGATGTGGATTACAATCCCCATCATCCCCATCCAGCCAATAATCTAATGCATTTTGCAGCAAGTTGGGGAAGGTTGGCCTAAATCACCAGAAAGCAACACAATATTCTGCAAGGAATCCATTTATTTTCTTCCCTGCTGTGCTATGTTCATACCTGAATAATAAACGTTATTCTACTCTTGACATAAGCTTATCCTTGCCCTTATCCTTGACAAATGTTGGTTACCCCTGTAGTTAGCCAAGACATATACTATAACTCAGTTCCATCTCAAGAGAAAATTAAAGTATATTGCCTGTGACATGCTGAGGTCAAAGATGCTCATGTACATCTGAGGTCCAGGAAAACTTTGAGACAAGCCATCAATTCTCTCTCCAACTGTTGCTATGACCCTCCTGATGGAATCATAGGACCATTTAGACCACTAAATCCAAGCCCTTACTCTGTGCAGGTATTCAAATTAAAGCATTCCAAAAAGTTGACAGTCTAGCCTCTGCTAAAATACATCCAGAAAAGGGATGATTGGCACCTCGTTTGGTACTTGCTTCCACTACTGAATTGTTCAATTCCACTCATATGAGCAAAAGCCAATGTGACGCCAGCTTTTAGTGACTACTATATCATAAATCTAAAGTCTGAAGCAACAGACCTAAGAAACAGTCATAAGCAGTATTATCTGACTATAAAACCTGTGCAAATGCATCAAAAACCAATGACGCAGGGAAGACCTCTATCTAGTGAAATTAATTGCTTTGCCAACTACTTAGTAAAAACAGTAATGCATCATATAACTACCAATGTAGAAATTCTTGACTGTAAAAACGACTCTTGTCTTTATGAAGTGTTAGTCCAGTTGAAGCCTAATAGTTTTTTGAGAACCTGTAGTATTCTATTCACATGAACAGACAGAAAAGCTCTGAATTCTGCCTAATCCACATTAGGTTACAGGTAGTCCTCAACTTACGACCATTTGTTCAGCAACCATTCAAAGTCATGGTGGTGCTGAAAAAAGGGACTTACGGCCAATCCCCAAAGTTATGGCCGTTGCAGCGCCCCTGCGGTCAGGTGATCAAAATTCAGGCACTTGGCAGCCTGCCCACACATAAGACCATGGTGGTGGTTCAACTCTACCCACCCATCTATCTCTCCCCCATCTATGCCCTTTTGGCCACCCTGCACAGCAGCACTCCTCAGCAGCAGCAGTGGGGCTGGACTGAAGTAGAGGCCCAGGGTCTTCAGCAGTCTCAGCTAGCTACCACCGCCCCCAGGCCTCTACTTCAGCCTCAACACCGCCGCTGCCAGTGAGAAATGTCACCTCTAGCTCCACACTGAAACCAGCCACCCCAGCACCACAGCACAAAGCCCCAGTTGCCTCCACCGCCCTGCACTCCGCAGGCCCTGCCATGTCCAGCTGACCTTTGCCGTCTTCCTCCCCCTGTTGACAAAGTGTGCCTGGCCTGGTCCTATGCTAGGCAGCTGCGGCCACACCAGGCCTTCTTCCTGAGGTCGCTTGTGCCATTCTCCAAATCACATGCACCATTCTCCAAATAGTGCGTGCCATTCTCATAATGCTTTGGAACACCTCAGAAGCTTTCCAAAGGCTTTCCAAAGCATCACGAGAATACGGTGCGCTATTTGGAGAACAGGGCAAGCGGCCTTGGGAAGAAAGCCTGGTGCAGCCAGCAGCTGCCTCGCATAAGGCAGGCCAGGCATGCCTCAGCAGCAGCAGGAGGAAGACAGTGAAGGTCAGCTGGGTGCGGCAGGGTGGCGGAGCAGCTGAGGCTTTGCGTTGTGGTGGTGGGGTGGCCGGCTGTGGCATGGGGCGTGAGGCAGCACTCCCATGGCTGCTCTGGGACTGAAGTAGAGGCCTGAAGGCGGGGGCAGCCGGCTGAGACTGAAGGCCCTGGGCTGTAGTCATGTGACATTGTGCTTCACAGCCACATCGCTTAGTGATGGAAATTCTGGTCCCAATTACCATCATAAGTCGAGGACTACCTGTACATAATATGTATTCCATACTTCAAGCGGAATATTTTCTTGTAACAATACCAGATGCAAACACAGATTTTGAGGAAAAAGGCTTATCTTACAAGAAGGCAAAAAGGTACTTACCCTTGGTTGCCAATTTTCATACTGTTTTTGCAAATTTGCACCAATGGTTTCTAGAGCTTTCTGTGGACCCATTGACAGAGGATCTAAGAGACATAAAAGACCCATGAGATTTTTAACAAACACATAAAATACACTGAAGTAAATTCTACTTGTAAAGAAAATCCATGTAGCATATTCTTTTTGCTATTGTAACAAAGTGCAAAGATAGGAAATGCATATTTCTTAAGCAGAAATATTGTTGCCAGAGATCCAAGCATCTTCCCACCACAATCAAGTCAATTACAGGGAAATCCTAGAATCTACAATCCGAACTGTAACTTGTTCTTTCTTGTAAAGAGTAAGGAAAATGGCCTTGATGGAAATATGTAAAAACCATTACCTAGACAAAAGGAGTTGAAACATTTTTTTAAGTCTAGAGCAATAACATTCAGAAGCATCTCAGGCAGACATTTCCCTGATTCACTGGAGTACAAGAGGGAAAAGGTACAGCATAATAAGACTTGCAAAATTCTGTTATTATAGCCATTCTCAATAAAAGTAGTTTTAGCCTTCCTGTGGAGTTGATTTCTTGATCTGGTCTATCTAGTGGGGCTAATATTCCTGGAAAAATGCAATAATCCCAAAGCTAATTTACCAGAGTTCAATAACTTCTGGGATTAGAAAGAAAATTAGCATAAACACAATTTCAGGGGTTTTTTCCCCTAAATTAATCTCATACAAGGGCAAAAAGTTAAGTTCCCATGATCCAAGTCATAAAAAATTAAGCATGAAAGAGACAAAATAAATGTTTAATACTATTTCTAATTTGGCTCTAGTTTGGATTATAAATTAACAAAAACAGAAATTTGGCATATCTTTGGACCAAAACAGAGTTGGTTGATTGATCATTTAAAAATTCTGTAAAATAAATACTAGAATAGAAACAATTGGTATTTTTCTTTCAAATATTTAGTACTATAATTTCAGAGCATCACAAGTCTTTGCATTTTTGCTTTTGCGGTTGATCTGTTTCTTAAAGGAACAAAGAGGGGAAGGTAATATTAGTAAATATGTAATGTTTTTCTGAGGCCAAATCCAAATATTTTGAAAGATACACAATGAAAAGTAATCCCTTGTTCTGCTTTGCTCATATTTCATCAAAACAGAGGTCTCTGGAGAAGCCTACGGTCAGGCATAATCAAGGCTGCTACTGCAGTGCAAATAATGGAATCTGGTATTAGGGTAAATTGTGTTAAAGACATGACGACTTCTAAGAAAGAAAGATTCTCATGAAAAATTATCCCTAGTTTATAGTTTCTGAGAAAATATTTAAAAACCATAGCAAATAAAACTACAGACTGGAAGAAACAGCTCATGGTCTTTCAATGATTGTCCTTCCATGAAGTAATGTCTGTATTTCTTATTTCTACAACTCACTTCCCTATACTCCCCTTCCCACTCCCTTGCTTTCATATCATGCCAAATGTTTTATGACTGGCAAAATCCTAGAGGCTTAAACAGTATAATTGTTATGCATTTATTTCTACCCTTCCTCCAATAGGTCTAAACTTTTATCATACTTTCAGGAAAAATATAATTCATTAATAAAAGTACATCATATGAAAATAAATATATATTTCCACAATTTACCATACAATTAGTGTTACCTTGGAGAGTCCACGATCCCAGGTACAGCTAACAGAAATTTTCAAAACTACACAATTTTCACCAGGAATGCAATTGGTGAGAGAAAGGTTAATATTCCTTTTCCTTACACTATCTCTGTCACCAGGACTTTGTGGATTCACAGGACATGATCCAACTCAGACCATACAAGACACCTTTTGTGTCCCTCCGCCCCCCGCCTTATATTATCATAACATAAGTAGTGTCACACATTTAATTTTTAGGCATGGAACAATTCCTCTCCACTCTCTTTCCAGTAAACAACAGGGAAAGGCAATACAGGCTTGATTTATGCATAAGTAGGCAAGTATTTAACAGTCAGCTTTCCTTCTTTCTTCCAGATATGCAAGCAAGCTATCATTTTGGCTGAAGTTATATGTATACATTATTGTCATTATATTCTATATTCTTACTTCCTATTTATGGGAGAAGTAAGGAATAATTATGCGGCTGGGTCTCCGTCTCTCTGTTTCTCAGGCTGGCTGAACATGATCTTTCCCATTTGTTTTGTTCAGCTTTCCATGAAAGCCATTTGCAGTGAGTGGAACCATCCCTTGTTGCATCTCTTCCTCCTTCAGTGAGTTTTCTCCAGAAACCCCACTGGGCTCCACTTTAAGAGTCTTGCCCTTGGCTCTTCTGGAACCAACAATCCTTCAATAGCTAACACTGTCTAGAATCCATTTGGTTTGCCAATTATTGCCCTCCTTACTCAATGCCTTTCCTTTAAATCTCCAGTTTTCTCCTCCTCACCAGCACAGCACCAGCTTCCACCCCCCACCCCTTTTCTATAGGACAATATGCTATCTCTTCTACTCTTAGGGTCTGCTATCAACTAAAAAGAGCAACATGTTTTCCAGGGCTTATATGTGACAGGATAGCAGAGAGACATGGGTGACAGTATACAGGTAGTCCTTGCCTACCAACCACTTGTTCAGCGACTGTTCAAAGTTCTCATGGCACTGAACAAGTGGGGTTTTTTTAAAATAATTTTTATTGAAGAGGTTTTTCAACAGAATTAAAAACAGTACAAATTTTGAATTAAAGAAGAATAAAGAAAAGTAACAAGTGAAAAAGAAAAAGATTCTAAAGAAGCGGCTCCCAATCTTGACAGCAGTTATAGATACATTTATATTTTACCCTCTCTCTCTAAGGTTACATCATAATTTCCTTCTTTCTATAAGTTACCCTCATAAATCACAAGTTCATTTTTCTCTTTTTTCAGCAAAAAGTCCATAAGGGGTTTCCAGTCACTAATAAATGTAGTTATTGATCTTTCTCTAATCAAAAAAATTAATTTGGCCAACTCTGCTGGTTTTGTCATCTTCACCAACCAATCCTCCAATATGGATATTTCAGGTTCTTTCCATTTTTGCGCATATAATACTCTTGCAGCAGTAATCATATATAAAAATAATCTTACATGGCTCTTTTCTAATTGACTATCCATTAATCCCAGCAAGAAAAGTTCTGGTTTCAGTTGAATGTTGATCTTGTATTTGAACCCAAAAATTTCTGGCTGTTTTACAAGTCCACCAGGCATGATAAAATGACCCTTCATGTTGTCCACATTGAACGAGTGGTACTTACAACCAGTCCTCAAAGTTCCAGCTGTCCCAGCACCTGTACAATCACGTGATCGTGATCTGGACGTTTGGCAACCAGCTCACACTTATGACAGTTGCAGCATCCCATGGTCATGTGATTGCCATTTGTGACCTTCCCTGCCAGCTTCCCACAAGCAAAGTCAATGGG